TGTCTTTGAGGTTGAGGTGAGTTTCTTGTATGCAGCAGAAGGAAGGATTCTGTCTTCTTATCCATTCTGCTAATCTGTGTCTTTTTATAGGGGAGTTAATACCATTAATGTTGATTGATATTAATGACCATTGATTATTGTTAATTCTTGTTTGTTTTTGATTTGGTGATGGTGTCGAGATTATGTGTGGGATTCTATCCATTTTTTTTCTTTTGAGTATTGGTAAGTTGGGATTATCTATTGCCTATGTTTTTTTCTGGTTGTAGTTTACTTCACTGGGTTGCAGTTTACCTTCCAGTGCTTTCTGTAGGGCTAGATTGGTGGATATGTATTGTTTGAATCTGGTTTTGTCATGGAATATCTTGTTTTCTCCATCTAGAATGATTGAAAGCTTTTCTGGGTATATATAGTAGTCTGGCCTGGCATCCATGGTCTCTTTGTGTAGGTAGAATATCTATTCAGGACCTTCTGGCTTTCAGAGTTTCCATGGAAAAGTCAGGTGTGATTCTGATAGGTTTGCCTTTATAGGTTACTTGACCTTTTTCCTTTGCTGCTCTTAATATTTTCTCTTTGTTGTGTATGTTTGGTGTTTTGATTATTACGTGGCAAGGTGACCTTTTTTTGGTTCAGTCTATTTGGTGTTCCTGTTGGTTATGCTTACATCTGTAGTTCCTGATCGTTTACCCAGCTTTTCTATTTCCAGCATGCCCTCAGATTGTGCTTTCTTTATTCTCTCTATTTCAGTTTTTAGGTCTTGAACTGTTTCCTTGAGAGGTTTGTTGATATCTTGTATTTTTTGGTTTGTTTTGTCCTCAATTTCTTTAAGAGATTTTCTCATGTCCTCTTTGAGATCCTCTATCATTTTCCTGAAGATGTTTTTAAGGTCATTCTCTTCTGGTTCATCTGCATCGTGATGTTGAGGTCTACTGGTGTATGGTTCCTAGTCTCCTGTGGTGTCTTATTGTGTTTTCTGTTGTGGATGTGCTTTCACCGTGTCCTCTTGTCATCCTTTCTTCTGTGGGTGTAGCAAGTGTTTCTTGTTCTCCTGGTGGGTGTGGGATCATGGTTCTCTTCTGGTAGATGCAAACAGATCCAATACTCTGGTGTCAGTCCTCTTCTCATGAATGGAGATGTCACTGTTACCCGGGTGTTGACAGTGTTTGGGCATGCCCGGTCCTGCCAGCCGGCAGTTGGAGGCAGAGCTGTCACCAGGCCTCGGGGTGTGGGATCCTGCTGCAGAACTCTGTCTGGCATGCAGGTCGCTTCCCTCAGATGACTCTGAGCAGCAACGATGACAAACCAGAACCAGAAATCTTTCCTAGCCTACCTGGGCCTGCGGATGGAGGCCGGGCTGCCTCTGGGTGTTCGGTGTTCGGAACCTGCCGCCACCGCCGAACTGGTTCCAGCATGCAGGTCGCTAGTCTCAGATGACTCTGAGCAGCCACCATCTATTCTATAAATTTTATAAAGATTTATCTGATAGAGGATGCCAGCGGCATGCATCCTCTCTTCCTCGGGTCACACGGCGACTCCCCTTTTTACTACATTTCCCAGAATCCTCCTTATCTCCTAGTACCACCTAACTTGATTCACTACTGGCAACAGTGCCTTATTTATCAACCAATAAGACAAACATAAACACAGAAGGACTTCCCCCATCACATGTGTGATATGTATGAAGGCAGGCATTATAAACAAGAATATACCTTAAAATAAGAATATAAGATTTCATCTAGTGAAGAAAAGTATGGAGAATCCATAGTATATGGGACAGGTCTTCATGGTTTCTACTTGGAGAACACCCAGATTGGCAGGAATAAACTGTAGGTAATACTGGAGCACAGGTGATGTGAAGGAAGAATGGGGAATAACAAAGCAGGAAGGATTGGGTCAGGTAGGAGATGGGTGGGCAGAGTAGAGGATAGAACTTGAGGAGAGATAACCAAGACTAAAGACCTTTAAGAAAGTCATGTGTAAAGTACTATTGTACAAGCTTCTTAAAATAGTTTCATGTCTAAAATGACTTTAAACTGAAATAATCTTATCATTTGGAGACAGTGTTTCTACTAGACACCACAGGCTATCAAATAAAAACCTAGAACCAGGAATGAGATACCTTACAGAGTTGTTAGCCAGTTTTGTCCCATAGATTCCTTAATATCACAGGCTACTGCCACTGGTCTTGATTATTGCCAAACTTGATGATTATATCCTATTTCAGAATATGGTGATATATTATTTATTATTTATTGAAGTTTGCCTGGGGATTCAGAAAGCTAAGTCAGCTACAAGTCATAGAAGCTAGGCATACTCTAATTCCAGCAGCCAGAAGCTAGGAAGTAGTGGTACACACCTTTAATCTAAGGGTTCAGGATTAAGAGGTAGACGTATCTCTCTGAGTTCAAGGCCACCCAGGGATACACAGGATTGAATCAGTCTAAAAGAATAACATATCACATGCCTTTAATTCCAGCACTAGAGGGGTATAAAAGATAGAAACAGGGTCTTCAGTACTGAGTAGGAATATTCATTCTCCATCCACACCAAAGATAGGAACATTCATTCTACAGCCATGCTGAGGAGAGGCAGCAGGATCAGCCCATTCAGTCTGAGGTAGTGGTAAGAGCTAGTGGCCCTGCTACTTTGCTTTTCTGTTCTATAGCTTGAAGTTTGAACCCCAATATCTGTGTCTTTTATTTGTCACATTACATCAGAAGACACCATACATTCAAGTCACAAGATGGAGAAGTAAAGCTTGTGTCTATCTAAATTGGCTTCCCTATTATAGTGACATGTACTTTTTGTACTTTTTTATTATTTTGTAATTTCAGTCATGAAAACATGTGGACATAGATCATATACGACTACATAAAATTCCAAAGTCTGATCTACTAACTCAAACACACAGACCTGAAAAGAAGGTGTGATAAATTTACTTGCATTATATGAAGTCATCACAAGCATTAATTTCCCTCAACATGATTCAAAGCATGGCGAGAAACTAATCCTTCCCTGATAGCTATCTCTCAACTGTTCTGTATAGTTAAAGATATAGCAGTATGTATCATTATTTGAAAGTGGGTTGTGTTTTATATAAGAATTTGTTAGATAAAAGTGCCATTGTCCAGCTTTTATAGTGCTATGCATGCTCTCAGAGGAGTAGTAATAACTAATTTCACTCAGCTTTGACTCCTAAGAGATATAGTAAGGGCTGATCTGGCAGTACATACCCTATAGTACAATATTGCTAGTGTTGTGGGAGCAAACAATCACTTTCAGATTGGATTTCAGGCTTGGCCACAGAGAGTACTCATTCTTAGTATGGTTTTGGGGCCTGAGACTAAATAGGTCATAGGTTCTAGAGAAATACCTATGATTATTTCTGCTATGGATATAGTATTAGCATGAACCCTAATGAATTTCCCATATATATTATACCCATATATCAATTCATCTCTCTACCTTCATCAGAGGTGCTTCTTTTGGCAGTAGATGGTAATTGACACAGACCTCCAAACTAGTCAACACGTAGATAATTTAGAGACTGAGAGTGCTCAGTCCTCCATGGGACCTCCACATTATATCCTTTCTCTCAAGACGCAGAGACATAAAAGAAGAAGAACTGGAAAAGACTGTATGAGCCACAGTGGTAGATGATTACACAGAAATTATGTTTTCAGGATCAATATGTTCAGTGCTCAAATGCACTCACAGTGGTTGTAACAGTACGCAAATATAGAAAGATCAAGCCCACCAAAATCCAAGCATGCAGGGAAGATATGGTGATGAAGTTGCACCTCTGACTCAGGAACTGTTGGTAGATGGTTACTGGTATAAACATAGTAAGTTTTCTTCAAGGATGTGCCCCTGAAGGGCTACCAAGCCCCATAGATATCCTTACACTCATATACATACTGGCAGTGCTGAGTGGACTCTGTGATAAAAAAACAGTAGGAGAAGAGAAGAGATGAAGCTGGGAGGGAATAGTGTCAGGATGATGGGAGAACTGTAGAGAAAGGAATCAGAATCAGAATGATTTTGATCAAAACATTTTATATATGTGAATATAACATTTTAAAACAATAACAAAACAAAATAATAGTAAATCTCCAATAAATCTACATCATCACTATTGAACTAGTTTGTAAGCACCATGGCAACAAAGCTTGATCTCTGAGGGAAATAGCTGGAAAACAAAAGCTTTCATTTTTACTCAGGCCCCTAGGATTGCAAACTCATAAAATCCTCTTGGGTCATTACCAGGTAGCCCTTGTGATATCAGTAGATGCTATTTTCCAACCTCTGGGTGAGAGAGCACATCTGGACAAAGCCAAAGCCTGAAATCATGATCCATACTCATGGCTTCTCAGAATCTACAGGAATGAGAGCTTTGGCTTCTCCATTTGAAAGTCAATTTCCCTTATCACCATATAGCCAAATTTAGTGACAATAGAAAGCATTTTTTTCCTGGGTCTATACTTTACAGTTCATCAGTGCTACTTGTTCTTGTCCTTCTGTGAGATTAGAGAAGAGATAGTGAAGTGACTTGTGAGTTCCCCATGGACAGAGGTAAGGGTTAAACTGGATGCTTCTTTTGTTTTGGATTTTTTGTTTTTGTTTCTGTTGCTTTTTTTCCTTAAACTACCTCTGAGCAATGCAGTGGGTCTTTGATGTGCCTTGTATCTTCTTTTTTGAGATGACCACTGAGACTGAATTGGGAAAGAGATTTGTCAAGGTAGAAGCAGAACAGAGATGGTACAGAACCAAAAATGGTCATGGATGCCCTGAATGTTTTCCCAAGGAAATGGCCTTTTATATAGCTATATTCATTTCTGTATGTTAACTGTCATAAAATGTAGAAAACAGAGGCACAGAGAAATGTGAGCTTAACTTTATCCTTCCATTGTGGCTCTAAGTCTCATTTTAATGCGGTATTTTGGAGAGGGCTGAGATTTCATCTTAATGTTACTATTATTACTGTTGTCACAGATAAGACCCAGAGAAGAATGGCCCCAGGTAATGACTCTTCAGTGAAGGAGTTCATCCTGCTGGGCTTGACACAGCAGCCAGAGCTCCAGCTGCCCCTCTTCTTCCTCTTCTTGGCAATCTATGTGGTCTCCATGGTGGGGAACCTGGGCTTGATCGTTCTGATTGTTCTGAACCCTCATCTGCACACCCCCATGTACTACTTTCTCTTCAACCTTTCCTTCACAGATCTCTGCTACTCCTCTGTCATAACCCCCAAAATGCTGGTGAGTTTTGTGAAGCAGAACATTATCTCCCATGCTGAGTGCATGACTCAGCTCTTCTTTTTTGCCTTCTTTGTTATTGATGAATGCTACATTTTGACAGCCATGGCCTATGACAGATATGCTGCCATCTGTAAGCCCCTGCTTTACAAGGTCACCATGTCTTATCAGATCTGCCACTTAATGACAGTGGGTGTGTATGCGATGGGGTTTGTGGGTGCAATGGCCCACATAGTTTGCATGCTGAGACTGACTTTTTGTGACAACAACATCATCAATCACTACATGTGTGACATACCCCCTCTCCTGAAGCTCTCCTGCACAAGTACTGCCATTAATGAGCTGGTGGTTTTTATTGTTGTGGGTGTCAATGTCACAGTGCCCAGCCTGACTATCTTCTTTTCTTACACCTTGATCCTTTACAACATTCTTGGTATCCATTCTGCAGAGGGTAGATCAAAAGCCTTCAGTACCTGTGGCTCCCATGTAATCGCTGTTTCTTTTTTCTTTGGATCTATAGTCTTCATGTATCTTAAACCTTCTAATGTGTCTGGGGATGAAGATAAAGTATCTACCATTTTTTATACCATTGTGGGCCCAATGCTGAATCCTTTCATCTACAGTATAAGGAATAAGGATGTCCACATTGCACTGAGGAAAACTTTGAAGAAAACATGTTTGTCTAAGTAGAATCAGTAATTGTTATGGAAGTAAATCTTAGGACATGTGAGGTTTTCAGTTAGAGAGAGGACTGTCTGGAGTCCTCTCATTGGCAGAGCATTTGCTCTCATTCATAAGTCCCTGGGTTTGACCCACAGTGTTGCAAACAACAATAAAAACAACTAAAATAACACAAATATCCCCAAACCTATGGTGGAAAGGTTTAGAATCAAAATTATTTAATATTATGCAAAGTCAAGACAGTTATCAAGGAAATTTCAGAAGTAGAGGCAATGAAGGAGCATTAGTCCATTATCCCTTTAGGATATAGAGAACAGTTTATTCTGTAATTTCCCATGTGTCATTTTTTTCAGTGTTGAAAACTGAACAATCACATTTGTACAGTGAACTACCAGTATTGTACACTCTAGCCTTAGAAATCAGGAGGATTTAAGTACAAAACACTGGATGATATTATACTCAGAAATGGAAAGGTCAAGAGATTTTTAAATGTGCACCTTTTTTATTTTGTAGTGGGTGTGTGGGGTTGTATCCAGGCCCTCATGCATTCTAGGTATGTGTTGTTCCACTGATCTGCATCTTTAGCATCACCACGACTAGGGGACATCCAGAAGTTTTATATGACTGTGCCCCTGAAATACTGATTTAGTGGTCTTAGAGACACTGGCTCACTATAGTAAATCTCTGAGAAGATTTCTTGGAGATTGCATTTGAAAGGTTCCTTTGTTTTCTAGAGGTTCACGTATGAAGGGAAACACCTTTTTACTGTGTTCTTCTCTCTCCAATCTTAATTCAATTTAGTAAGGCAAAGATCATGAGTCTATTATGATTCTAGTACTCCCAAACTAAAAGTGAAATAGTAATCTTAGTCATTCAGGATAAAGGGAACTTATATTGGGTTTTCCATTCATGGACCTGGAGGACAGGCATGGGAATATAAGGGTATGCTCTGTTTTCAGTGGGAAGAATTTGACTAAAAAGTTCACTTTGTGATGGCTAACATTATGTTTTAATTTTAAGCTACTGTGCTTAAGAGATCTATGAAATAAATTTGCCTCTAACCTGAAAGTTCCACTGGCCCAGCCAGAGATGGAATTTTGTGGTCCATTCCAGCATAATTTAAGGAATCTGTTGTTATCATAATGGTCACAATGTTAACTGCTGCTTCTGCTTTTGTAAAAAAAAAAAAAAAAAAAGCTGCTTGCACAAGACAACAGGACACCTGTAAGACATGTTTGCAAAAAAAGCTGTGATTGCACTTAGGAAAAGATAAATGTGTGTACATAAATGGAATGCCACCTTCTGATTGCAGGATGTATGCCTACAAATAAACGAAATGTAACCTTATGCTTTTTTTGCCCTCATTGTACTGCATCATGGGAATCCTGAGTCCAGAGTATAGTCATAGCCAACCAGTGTCTGAATAAAAGTGTTTTCTTTGTTAGACATAAATTTGTCTTTGGTCATACTGGTGAGTCTGTGAGTGTCTCTAGATCCCTAAAAATTAATCATTTAACCATGGATAGAGTAATTCTGTCTTTTCCTCAAAAAATTATATAATCTTAATTTATTAGCAGTTAATTCTTTCTCTTTAGGAATAATTTTACTCTTATAATGTCTTAGATTTTCATATATAATGATGGACTTTGTTGGAGGACTAAAAATAGACACAGAATGTTTTCTATTTTAGACACCAAGGTTTCTAGGATTTGGTCAAATATTAAAAATACAGCTGTGAAGAAAGGTGAAGATACTATGATATCAGAAATGTACAGACTAGTCAGGTGGTTAAATAAATAATTTTTGTGTCTGTGAGTTTGTGTCAGACAAATGATATACACTGTCTTGAACAAATCTAATTGTGCTGAGAATAACTGTTTTATCTTGGCTTGGCTCTTCTTGAGGATATAGCTGATGAACTGACTGATGGTAGGGTATCCACAGAACATCTAAGCATAGGTATAAGCTAAGCATAGCAGTTGATGAAGGAACAATCTTGATGATGATGAGGAATTGTTATGGGAAACAGGTGAATGCTATGGAAGAGGCATTTAAATATATTTGCACATATTTAAAGGGCAAGGACTTATAAAGTGACATAAATTGTTCACTTGTAAGACAAGTTGCACAAATTCCAGCCTCTCAGAGAAAGAATAGATTATTTTGGAAAGGGCATCTGAAGACTGCATTCTTACAGATGAAAGTAAATGAAGAAGAGAAAGCTGTTCATAGAACACTGTTCATTGCCATTATACTGGTCACATAGAAACACTGCAGGATGCTGATCTGTCATAGATTATTCGAAGAGAAAGCTGTTCATAGAACACTGTTCATTGCCATTATACTGGTCACTGCAGGATGCTGATCTGTCATAGATTATTTGTGTCTACTCCACATAAGAATTGTGATGAGCAACAGAAGGTCAGAACGACCTTGGTGACTGAAGTAACATGCCTCATGTTTGCCCGGGTAAAGAGTTTTGTGATCTCATTCTTGTGAAATTGTAAGTTTTCATTCTCAATGTATTTAGCCTACTGATCTAATCTGAGCACTTAATATTTTCACATACTTGTTTATTATTTCTTTGGGTGGAGAACATTTGAACACATAACTTCTGATAGAATAGATTTTAGTGCCCATTCTAATCCTCATTTACAGCTTCAGGAATAAGGATTCAAACTTGCTGGAAGAGAACCATGCAGAGTCTCATCAACTGATTTATAGAGAAGTGTTTCTCTTAGATCTGTTTCTAACTATCTGCTGTTCCCGTTTCATTTTTTTGTTTGTTGCTTTGATTACCAACTTTTATTTTTTCCTTATTTTCATGTTTCTGCAGTGTCAACAGTTTTCTATAATATCCCTTTCCTTCCACTGTGTAGTGTTACTTGTATGCAACCATTCTTTGTATGGTGGTATTCACAGGTTCATTGTTTTAAACACTGTGTGCATTGCCTATATTAGCATAAAGACCATTTTACTTAAGGACAACACCCCATCCCACTCTCTCTTGCATATCTTCTGTTTCCAAGAAAACTCTTGGGTTTGTGTTTTTTATCTTAAATTGATTCCTTTCCTGATCTTTTGTAATAATTTTGTATCTGCATTTTCTTATTTGATGGGTTTATTTTCCACATAGTCATCAGCTTAGATAAGAGTTGACATAATTGTCAAAATTTCAGTAACTTTTAGGTTACTTTGCTAGCAGTTCCTTTTAAAATATTTATGTCATGTTTAATTATTTTTCATCTACATTTTTGGCATGTATCTAAAAAAATCACATAGGCAATATCACATGGAGTAAAACATTGGAGTCATATTGAATAAATAAAATGCATATATATTTGCCATTGTTATGCCAAAAGTAATGGCTTTTACTATCTACCAAGTTATTGAGTGCTTGACACCATTTTAAGAACTTCAAAAAACTCCCTTAAATCCACAATGCTACTGTTATTGCCTCTTTTTTTACAACAAGGAAATTGAAACACAGAGAAGTTAATGTATTTGTTATCTATATCTATCTGCGAAGTGGCATATCTAGATTTGATCAAGGAGAAAATGGAAGCACTTTGCTGTAGAGTTCATTCCCCTAACTACCACATATATTACTTAGAGGAGGTGGGACTTACTTCAGGAAGTCATTAGCAAGTTGCCAGCAGTTTGTACTCAAGAACTTTAGCTCCAAGTCTGTAATGGAGTTGTGTAAATCAGGTTTTACTTTTATGGTTATTTGAGCATTTATTAGATTAACTTCTCTGCCAATTTTTTCAGATGCCACAATTATGACAACAGATCAGCAAACTGATATTTATCAAGAGTATATTTGGAGTTGTTCCTTCTTGTGCCTGACATGTGAACTGTACCTATGAATTTTTTAACGTTATATCCATTCTTGTTTAGAGAACTCCCATTTTCCCTGTCACATGGATATTCTTAGTTTTAAAAAAATGATGCTTACTTCCGAGTAACTGAACCATAGCTGGGCTTAAGCCTTATTGATACAGTGCTTGCATGCTCTTGTTTATGGGTTTGACTCACTGGACCAGAAATAACCCTCCTCTCTTTCTTTCCCTCCCTCCCTTCCTCCTTCCCTTTTTCCCTATGTATTGCTATATTTTTGCTATGGTATCTCTGTCATAAAGAAGTGAAATAATTAAGTAATGCTGGCATTTAAAAAGTAACCTTAAATACAAAAAAAAAACCGTTTTGTGAGCTTTAAAGGCCACACAAATAATAATTCAGAAGTTAACCTAATGTTCATATTATATATGATGAGTGAATAGAAGGAAAGAAAAATTAATTCAAAAGAAACAGCAAGAATTTCTGGAGAATTATTTCACAATGATTCAAAAATGAAGAAGTCTCTGAGAATATGGATTTAGTCAAGATGTCTTTAGCAGAGAACTCATCTACAGGGTTTGATGGCCAAATAGAAAAATATACATTTCCTTACAGAAGTCTCATATTAAAGTGCACATATCATTTCTTATTTATTATAATTTGTGACTGGTTTTTGGGCATCATGTTATATAGGAGTTTAGTTAAGCTTTCATGGTGTGTCACGCCACTATTACTATAATGCAATATGTATGTTAAGAGGCCTCTTAGATTCTATCTCTTTATTTTTGAAATAAAATGATTTGTTTACAATATAAACAAATAACAATTTGCATTGTACTGTACTGTCATTGGCAATACACCATTTTATTTACCATTAAATCTAAGACCCATAAAAGAGAGAAAATATATGTTTGTCTTTCTTAGAATTAATTAATTAAAATTACTATGAGATATATCCAGTTTATTATAAATAACATAACTTCAGTCTTCATTATGGTTGAAAAAATCTATTATGTACATAAACTTTATCTTTACCCATTCTTTGGTTGTTAGACACCTACCTAGATTGCTTCCATTATAAAGTTTTTTTTTTTAATCTTACATACCAACAACAGTTTCATCTCCCTCCTACAGTTCCCTCTACTCACCTCCCTTCTACCACCCCCTCATCCATTCTTCCTCTGTCTCCACTTAGAAGGGTTAAGGTATC